TATTCCCCCTTAGGTAGATAGAATGTGGCTTTGGGTATATTATGATAAGATCCCCATAGACCCCATATTCTATCTACTTAAGGGGGGACTGTATGTATCTCTATGTCAAGCTATCCGCGCGTGCCTGGAGCGTTATCTTCTGGTGTCCGAGAGGGAATGGGAAGCCATATGGGGGGGAAGAGGTGCAGCAGTATCAACCTCCAGTGGAGGTGAAACAGGACACGGCGGAGGAGGAAAAGGCAGCGCCGTCGAAGGTGGCCAAAACGGAAGAGTTGCAGTCCTCGGCGTCCTACTACTCCTCGGATGAAAAGTCTGAGGAGGAAGAGGAAGTGGTGCTGAAAGGTAAGGCCAACTCCCCGGCCAAAACCTTTATAGGTGAAATGCCTGCCATCCTCACCCTGGAGACGCCCAAAAGCAATGATAGGGTCGCGTTGCTCAAGAAGGGATCCTATAGGGCGGTCTATCAGCGCCCCACTGGCCAGAAACTGGTTTGGAAAATGGGGGACCATGGAGAAGAAGCAGCCTGGCTTCGACTCTATGGGGGTTACACCATGCCCAAGTTGGGCAAGACAATCCCTGTAAGGGTAAAGCTCACAAATTCCAGATTCCCAGAGTCTGGTAAAAACCTCCGCATTTTGGAGGTGGAGAAAATGGAGCCGCTGCCCCAATTGGAACAGGCCCACCTCCTGGCCATGTTTGTGATCCTGATTTACATGAAGGGGCAAGGGGCAATCCTCAAAGATGTTGGTGACACCAACTGGGGAACACGCAGGACCATTGCGGGTGTGCCTGAGATGGTTTTGCTGGATGCAGGCTCCTGGACATCAGTGAAAGCCCTGCTAGACCAGGGACAGCTGGGCATGGACCTGTGGCGTTCGATCATCAGACAGAGAGTGATTGTGAGTGCACCCACCAGGGACAACTTTGTCATGCTTCCCAGCGCATCCGCCATCCAACAGCCAGAGGACTGGAGGGTGGAGCTCCTCAAAGAGGAAACAAAATAAAACCTAAGATAGGTGGTAGGATCTTAAAAACCTCTAAGCTACTGGCTAACTGGAGGTGACCACCCCTGTGCCTGAGCATCCGGTGTGGTGGAAACCTTTGAAAGGTGCTAAAGCCCTTAGCAGGGCCTAGGACACCTTCAAGAGGAAGTGGAGTTTTAGCCTCAAGGAGGGCTCTTTATCCTCAGAGGAGGTGGAACTTAGTTCAGCCTCAAGGAGGAGGTGCAAACACTTCCTCAGAGGAGGTGAAAACCTCTTTAGGAGGTGCTTGCAACTCTTCTGCCTGTAAAGGCGCTGCGCTTTTCTCCTTAGGGAGTGTACAAAGGCCCAAAAGCTAGGCACTTCAAGAACTGCCAAAGGGCAACTAAGGCTAAAGACCTTACCTGGCCACTGGCCGCGCTCAACGCGCTCCGAAAGAAGCCATATGGGGATATCCCAAAAGTAGGGTACTCAGGTACCTTTACAGGGGATGTATGGAATGTATGAGTTATATCGCGGTTATCTTGGGTTATTTGGTTTAATAAGGCTTGACAGAAATAGGGAGTGCATGTGGGCACGCCCCAGCACGATCACAAGGGCTTACACAGAGACCCACTCGCCCCTAAGTGCGCTACAGGATACCCACGTACAAAACCTTCAACACACCATCCTGTAAATGGTAGTTGAACCTTTTGGGGAAAATGCCTAAGCCCTAAACCCCATATCTTGGTAGCCCCTGATCTGAAGGATCTCATTAGTGTGGTCGCAGACCCCGGCTCCACTCAATTTCGCTCAAGGAACGCCACGCATGTCAGCAGGGAAGGACCTTAGTTAATCCCTTCCCCTGAGGTCAAATAGCCCCAGCAATACATAAACTCAGGGGCCTAAAAATTGTGGAAGAACATTTTTAAAGGGCGAGACTACTTTGAAGGGGACAACTAATAATGAATTGGGGGGTTCTGGAGTTGTCGCTGGATTGTCCACCTACTTACTTGATCAATTAATATAAATACTCTCGATTGACTTCATGGCTTAGTATTCAGGGATTAGTTAATGTGATTAAAGAACTGAATTAAATAGATACATATTGAATTTTCATGGCGGTTTAAAAGGATTTACAGGCAGAGCTATCTGAGGCTTTCAATAAGTATTTCCCCCTAGTATTAGTTACTTTTTCGGGCACCGGACCACAACGCCATTATTTACAGTATGCGACTTGCCCTGAACCTGCAATAAGGGAGTAGATCCCTGAAGTTGTGCCCGTAGAGTATCTTATAACAGGGCACAACCCCCCTGTTCCTAAAATTCCCTACTAATCACCTGCAAGTTGATGCCAAGGCTTGCCGCCCTAAACCCTAAACCCTAAACACTAGATTTCAGGGACTTCCGTGGGCTGGAAATTGCCCCCACCCTGCAGCAGTCATATGAGGGCTTCGCGAAGAGGGCCTAGGGATTTCTTGGGACCTTTAGGGTTCTAAAGGGATTATAGGGGTCCTTGTTTGGGATTCTAGAAGGAGTATAGCTGTGAAGCTCCCATATCTAGAGTCACCGAGGGTACGCTACTACTACACTGAAAAACCCACATGTAATGCTGAGGGACTGTTCAATTAAAGGGTAGTGACGGTTCCCAACCCATGGGCCCCCCGCCATAAAGACGATGCTTCTTTGAATTCCGGAGGTGCGCATCTATAGGGTTTAGGGTTAAGGGTTAAGGGTTTAGTCACGCGCATTGCACTGGGTTTAGGGTTTAGGGTCCTGGAACAGCTCTGAAGCAGGAGTTACGCAAAACAGGAGTTCTGATCAAGTGGCGGCTGAATTTGTGACGCAAACTGTGCAGGAAGAACAGGAAGCGAGTGCCACTTGTCATTGTCCTTTGATCTCACAGCTCTGCAGGCAGTACCGTACTTACCAGTAGTAAGTAATCCTCTCCCTCTAATACTAACCCCCCCACACTCCCTAATAATAAATACTCCCAATATAAGATACCACAAGGCGGAGAATTGAATATTAGGGGGTGGAGGGGTTTAACTACGGGGAGGGGATTAAGGAGTGGAGGAATGGGATCCTATATGTTCCCCCTATGGCGGTACCTATGTTTTACATCTTCCACTATTCCGTGCTATCCACTGATAAGCCTGGCAAAAAATTCGTTAGTCTGCTCAATTTAGGTAGCAAACATAGGAAGACCAACATTTCCAGCGCAGGCCGGTGTCTGGAACTGCTCATTCACGTCTGCTCGTGCCTTTGCTGCTTCATTAGACCAAGGTAAATTCACTACCGAACTGCACCTGAAGCATGTACCCTTGAAGAAAAAAGAGATTGCCAGATCGCCAGGGTGCTTGCAGTAAAGTCGAGATGACGTGTGCCGACCCACCCTCCATGACCAAGGCAGCATGCAAGCAGTTCTGAAAGCTCAGACACGGGTGCCGGCGAAAGATCTCTGTCATCGCTTGCCTGACATCAAAGGGTTTCAAGGTTCAAGGGTGGTTAAGAGGTAGTAACCAAGTAGGGTGAAAGTAGAAACACTATGGCGATGCCGCGTTTGAGGTACGTACGGTCCACGGCTCACAAAAGTCATCGCGGCATCAGTAGGGGCCGCGGGAGACGGATTTCCTTCATTCCCTACTGGCAAAACGAACCACGTAGATTGAAGAATGGTGTGACCATGAGCCATTCCATGTCCAGAAATACTGAGAACACAACCGGCATCAAAGCATCGGCGTCCCTTCTCTCACTCTGTCCCGCTCCCCGCCGTCCCGCATGCGAGACAAGTATGCGGGACGGTTCTTCCCGAAAGCTATGAACGCAGTCCATGGTCCAACCCCTGTGAGGCTGCGCGCTTTGGTGAACTCGGTCCCTGAGTTGGTCAACCACACCCCAGCTTGCAGTGCGCGGAGTTTGTGTTGGATTAAGCTTTGTTCTTGGGGGAATGGTGTACGACTGGGAATTGTCTGAGGATGAGAAACTCATGAGGCTCAAATCCTGGCTTCTTTGCCAGGCACAAGGCTTGGGCTTAGGGCTGTGCAGGCCGCCATCTCAACAAAACAAACCTGAACCCAAGCTAAGTATAGCAGCGCAAAGACCGATCCGCCCAACCAACTGCCCGTCCTACAAGGCCTTTAATAAACAGGAGAGGAGATTGCAACCCAACGTGTCAATCCCGACCACTCTGCAGCACCGAGAAGGACGCAAACCATCAGCATCGACTAGACCTATCAAAGCAACAACCATCAAAGCGACGGGACGAATTCCTATAATAGTTCCTCTATATTCCCCGCGATTCCCCAACACCGAGGAGACCAAACCTGCACAACCCAGCCCTGACGCCGCAACTACCCCCACCTCACCTCCACAACAACCACTCGTGACCAATATAACTCAATCCGGCCCAGCCGAATCCCTAACCCCAAGCCAAGCCAGAACCACGGAAATCAAGGCCCTTATCAATACACCTTCCCCTTAGCGGCGATGAAGTGACGATGACCTTTACTACCAACTCTGCAGCCTTGTCTAAGTCCGGCCAGCCGTAACCTAAACCCCTAAACCCTAAACCGTAAACCCCTAAACCCTCAACTCTAACTAAAGCCAGCGCACCATGAGACCTGAACACAAGCCATACCCCACGCTACACCAACCCTTGACCCCATAACCGCACCTACCTAGTTCGCTGAATGACCCATCCTGTTTGCTGAAATGATTGTTGCTGAAAGCATCACCAACGACCTGTCTGTTTTGAAGTTTGTTTGAGGTACCTTAAACCACTATTGTGCTACAAGGCATCTAGGCTCATAATATTGGCAGACAGTTGCCATTCCAGTTTGCACGTTCTTTTCCCTTTTGACATTACAGTGTTGAGATAACATCCCCCAGTTGTCCGCGTGTACCCCTTGACAGGGACCCGGGATTTCTCCTTCATCTCCCGCTCTCTCTTTTCAATTTGATTCTCCATCATAATCAGCCGTAGACCCTAAACCCTAAACGCCAAACCTTAAACCCTTAACCTAAAACCTTTATTCCTAAACCTTAAACCCTTAACCTTAAACCCCTAAACCCTAAACCCTAAACCCTAACCCCTAAACCCTAAACCCTAAACCCTAAATGCTATTCAATAGCCAGGATGCACAGACCCATGGCTACAGGCTGTGTGCAACGGTTCGAAATCCTGGCCGGCATTTGAGGTTTCTCAAAAGGCTGAGTACCTTAGGATTTAAGGGTTCGGGTCTCTTCGGGGTCCCTATAGTACTAAACCCAAAACCCTAAACCCAAACCCTTAACCCTCAACCCTAGTATGGAAACTACCATTTCTCATCTTGGGGCTTCGGTTTAGGGTTATGTGCAAAGGCGCAAAATCCTGATCGGCCGTTCTCAACAAATCAGCGCGTGCGTCGCAAAGCTTTTGGATCGCAGCCAAATTGTCAGAGACCCCTGCCTGAGGAGTGGCAAACACACTGTTCAGGATGTAACGGTTAAACCCTAAACCCTAAATCCTAAACCCTAAATCCTAAACCCTAAACCCTAAACCCTAAAACCCTAAAACCCTAAATCCTAAACCAATGTGTGGGTGGAAGGTCCAGGCCGAAGGACTGTCTGTTGCTTTACGAGCCAGAGAGAAAGTCAGCCACCTCTTCCACCTCTTTTCCCTAGTTGTTGAGTCCCCTGGCCCCTAAAAAGTGTACACTTTTTGATTCTAATGGGAATATAAGAACCCCAAAAGTGTAAAGTGTACTTATCCAGCTACTAAATTTCTGAATCTCCTCAACCGCCACCCAACGGCTGCATGCCACAATAATCAGTACAGCTGCCGCTTGTCCTCCCACTACTTTTCAGATTACCTACGCTGCCCGGAAAGTACAAGTAAGGCACATGATATGAGCTAGAGTCTAAACTCCTAGTAACTGGGCCTAGTATCCCACTTCAAAGCCCCTATTTTTTTTCTCAGCCCTACCTTGC